GGGGAGAGGTCACCAGAAACCCAAATTCTTTATGGCCCAGATAGGTGGGTGGGGGGAGGCAATAAGGAAAATGGCGAGTATCTATCTTGTGGGAAAAGTAACTAAGGTTAGGTAAAAAGGTTAAACTCATAGGCAAATCTCCCTGCATATAAACAAGTTACTTCAAACAATGTGTAAATTAGTGGGCCTTCTAGTCTTCTTTAGTTCTTTAGCGAAGAATAGAGGCGCCTAACAGTGATTAACAACCCTTGTTAGCTTGTTTTAGCACCACTCTTCTTGTTTGTAGAGGGCCGCTCTGATTAACATCTCAATTAAGTGAAATTCTTGCAATTCTTTACAGGGGAGAGTATTGCTCAACATATCAATTGGGTCACTTAACATATCAGTTAGGGAAAAAAAAACATTTAGTAAGCCACGGTACAGGTTTGCTATAATACACAATATGATGAAGCTACTTTCTTAGAGTACAACAGTAAGGAGTTGGGGCACTGGCGAAAGGATTGCCCAAAGTTAAAGGCAAAACTAGACTTCTTCTTCATCGCCAGGACCTCCTTTGTTTTCTGCCAAACGAAGCTATCCATGTAACCTAAAAGGCAGAAGATTCTAAGAACTATGAGAGATTTAGAGAGGATGTTAGAAGAATAATAGTAAGTGCAAAAACAGTTATGTGAAAGTGAAAACTTCAAGGACTACTGAAGGTGGTACGCCTGGTGCAGTGATTGTAACGAACAAAGTGTATTGCTTAACAATGAGGTAAAACATTTAGTGTTGAGATATGGAGCTCATTCTAGGACTGTTTGATCTCCTGTTGTGTGTTATACTATGGAGACAGAGCCAAAGAGGTAAGAGCCAAACCCAAGAGAGAGACCTATGAACTGCAGTTACTACAGAGACTCAAATTCTATGGGAACAATGCCTGGATCCTGGCACCTCTGCACAAAAACCCGAGCTTACTGCCCTGACAGAAGCCCTCAAGCTTGCCTGAGGTAAGCGCATAAACATCCATATTGATAGCAGATCTGCCTTTGCCACCACGCATGTCCATGGGGCTATTTACCAAGAAAGAGGATTACTAACCTCAGCTGGACAAAGACTTAAAAATGCTCCTCAGATACTAGACCTATTGGCAGTAATCTGGCTGCCTGAAAAGGTGGCCATAATACCCTGTAATACCCACCAAAAAGGAGATAATCCTGTGGCAAAGAGAGATAACTTGACAGATACATCAGCCAAGGAGGCTGCCTTAAAATCAGTGGGGACTGAGACTGTGCTTGCCTTTTGCTGATGCCCCAACCTTGTCCGGACCTGTGTACACCAAAAAGGACCTCCACCTGACAACCCAGCTTCAAGCAAAAATTGATCTCCCTGAAGGTTACCAATTACCAGACAAAAGACTTCTATTGCCAAAAGTACTTGGCTGAGAACCTGTCCGACAAGCCCACCAAGCCACCCACTTGGGAGGAACAAAGCTTGCAGAACTTTTTTGGGAGAAATTTTTTATTCCTCTGCTAATGAAATTGACACAAGCTGCAAGCCTTAAGTGCCCTCAGTGCCAACTGGTAAATCCCAAATGACAACTTTATATGGAGACAAAACGTTTCCTCAGAGCCACCCCAGGAGAACATTGGGAGACTGACTTTACTGACATGAAAAAGCCTGTACTGCAGAGGCATAAATAACTCTTGATAGCGGTTGACACCTTTGCTGGTTGGGTAGAAGCTTTTCCAACCAAGACTCTCATTGTAGTAAAAAAAAGCTCCTTTATGAGATAATCCCATGATTTGGCCTGCCCATATCTATGGGGTCCAACAATGGTCCGGCTTTTATAGCACAGATAACTCAAAAAATTGACACAGGCATTACAGATTAATTGGAAACTCCATTGCGCGTATTGACCTCAAAGTTCAGGACAAGTAGAGAGGATGAATCAAACTTTAAAGACTATGATAACCAAGTTGTCTCTAGAGACTGGCAAAAATAGAGTAAGTCTCCTTCCATTTGCCCTCCTACGTACCCGCTGTACCCCCTATGTGGCCAGGGTGTCACCTTTTTAGGCACTCTATGGGAGACCTCCACCACTCATTCCTAAGATCTCTGAAGAAAAACTGGCAGATTTACTAACCAAGATCATAACAAGTCCCACCAGGCATTCCAGGTGGTTCTGTGCTCTACCTACACCTGTTCAAATTAAAACACATGCCAGCTGGCTCCAAGCTTTCTGAAGACTCCAAGCCTGCAGGTTAGCTGGAGGCACTTGTCCTCCTCAGGCGTCACCATCAAGAGTCTCTCGAGCCTAGCTGGGAGAGACCTTTCACCATGGTGCTTAGCATCCCCCACTGCAGTGAAGGTGGCTGGTAAGACTCCTTGGATTCATCACTCCCACATCAAAGTGATTCAGGCCACTGACGAAAAGGACATTGAGCCACCCCAAGATAAATGGACTGTACAAAAGACTGGTAACCCCCTAAAGTTAAAATTAACCAAATGTCCTTAATTGTTCTGGTTATGATGACTCAAAGTGTAACCTGTTTTATTTTCATAACTTTCTCACTAGGGGTAAACCATAACCCAAATTATGGGACATGGGTCACTATAACTATTTTACAGGAATAAAGTTAGCCTCAAATACAACGGTCCATGGGATTATATTATTAGATCTTTGTGTTCTACTCAGTAGAGACCTCACCGCCCAAATAGTAAAGAGATCTCCTCATCCCAGGCCATATGTTAACCCAAAAGGAACCAAATATGAGATGTGTTGAACTTTAAGTAATCAAAAGACTTTACACTCTACACCTTGGTATCTATGCCCTCATGCAAATTCAATAGTGGACTGGCCAGAAAGACAAGTCAAATATTTCAAGGATTATTGCTCAAAGAATCCAGAGAGTGAATTCTTTTGCCCATACTGGGGCTGTGAAACCATTTCCAACTGGAATGGTCAAGATGCCAACAAATATCTTAAACTTGCTAGGTCTTCCCCCTCAGAGTGTTTTTTAAATCAATGTAATCTCATGATTTTTACTGTGAAGTTTCCCACTGGCCAAATGTGGAAATCAGGGATACAATATGGTACTAGAATGTGGATAAGTGGATATAACCCAAGAAATATTTTTACTATCCAGTTCATCCCTGGCTCATGGGTGGGGCCATTTGGACCCATCAGGCTTCTGGCACCACAGCTCTGACCACAAAAGCCTACCAGTCCATTGCTTAACACCCCTATGGACATAACCCCTTTGTCCAGATTACTTCTGGTCCTCTCCCCTCTGACCTTGACCCTATCCCTAGATATTGCCTTGCAGTTTCTTAACCTTAGCAACCCCAACCTTATATCTGACTGTTGGTTATGCTTACTGGCTAGGCCCCCTTATTACACAGCAACCCTGGTCACTCCAAAATTCCACTAAACTCCAAAATTCCACTAAAGGTGAATATCATTGTTGGGGAGGAGCAAAACCAAGAGTCACACTTGGAGTTGTACAAGGTAAACCAGGGACTTGTCTGTACTCCTATGCTTATTCCTGGAAGAGCTCTCCATATAGCTCATTTTGCAACCTATCTGTATCACACAAAATTTCTAACAGCTCTCACCAAGCCAATGCTCATTTCTCGGCCCCAAATGGCACCTGATTTGCCTGCACTTCAGGGCTTACTCCCTGTGCTATGCTGGAAGTATTTACCAGCCAATTTGAACTATGCATATTGGTCCATGTATTATTACCCCAAATATACTTGTATTCAAGTAGCGAAGGAAAAAGTCATATCCTGCCTTCACCTGACTCAATCTTATGGGTTAAACGTAACCCGATTCTAGTCCCTATGCTCCTGGAAATTGGAGTCCTGGGATCCCTGGGACTGAGAATTTCTAATATGGTTCTTGTGTTCCATCACTATGATAAGCTGTCCAGTCTCATAGACCGAGATTTACAAAGGTTGAGTGACTCAATTGAAAAACTGGAAGATTCTCTGGGTTCATTAGCTGAAATGGTACTCCAAAATAAGTGGGAGCTAGACCTCCTCTTCCTAAAAGAAGAGGGTCTCTGCCTGGCCCTTAGAGAAACCTGCTGCCTATATACAAACCATTCAGGAGTAATTAGACAAAATTTGGCAGAACTAAAAAAGAGAAAGAAAGAGAATAAGCTTGAAATGCAAGACAAAACTGGTATGAAAGATTATTCTCCTTTTCTCCATGGCTAACAAGCCTAATTTCAGCAACCATAGGGCCCTGCATAATTAACAGGTTAATAACATAAATCAAGGAACGAGTCCAAACTATCAAATTGATGGTCTTATTTGGTCACAAGGATATGAAATGGCTCCTTTTAAAACAATAAGCCAAAGATTTGGCTTATAGCCTTAAAATCACTGGGGAGTATTGTGACCTGCTAACCAGTTCCCTTCATCACGTTGCTGTTCTGTAAAGCGCCAACCCCTCCCCACCCCAAACTGCTCCATAAAAGATGATAAAATTGTTTGTCCTGATGGAGACATCTGTTCCAAGAAATGACCCATCACAAAAACTACAACCTTGTACTTATGTTAAAAACATGTTACATACGTGAAAAGTCCCCAGGTCAAGCTGTACCAAAAACTATGCTTGAGAGCTTTCCAAAGGACACCCACCGGCACAAACACCCCCCCCCCTCCCTTGCTTTGTGGTTTTTGCCTTCAAAAGTTTCAGACACATTCGCTCAGGGTGCTCAGTCTAGCAACTACCTGACTGTCACCGCCAAGTACCAGCTAAAATAAAGCGCTTCTCTTTTTCTATTTTTTTCTGTCTTGTTGTTTTTGAGCGGTGCTGATGGAGGATTAGGGGCAGGGGTCCACTCTTGGAGTCTGGGGGTGCCACACTTCCACCTATTCTCAGCAGCTGCCCTGTAGCCTGGTGACCAGCTGGTCTGACAGGGATCCTGCAAGGGATCCACAGGTCCCACCCACCCGAGGCTTCCACAGGAAGGAAACTCTCTCTTGCTGCACAAGATGCTGCCTGACAGTGAAGAGAAGGAAGTGAGCTCAGAGGCCTGGGTGCCAGAAGCAGCAGCTCTCCTCGGGGGACAGGTGGGCTCCTGTCTCCTCATAGAACCTCTCACAGAACCAATCAAAGTGGGGCCTTCTCCAGTCTGCCTTCTAGAGGGAAACCAAAGGACAGAGAGGTGGGTGAGTGTTGAAGAAAAAGATTATTCAACAATTCTGAGGAGGGAAAGGAAAACTTTATTCAAGAGAGGCAGGGAGCACACATCTAGAGAGGAGGACAGAGATTAATTCACTCCAAATCCTGCTCAGGCCAGTGAGGATTTACAGTCATTGAGCAGGGCAGGACCAGTGGTGACAAAGTACTAATGGCAAACTGGGGCAGAAGGAGTTCTAGCCAAGTGACATAAAAGCTTCCTGCTGAAGAGAGCTGTGGGCAACCCCATCAGCTGCAGTCTGGAGGACCATGAAAAGCCCAATCAGACTTCACCAATCATGGAGTCAGGGGAAACTGAGTGGGCAGAACCCTGACTGAAACAGGTCAGTGGAGAGACAAACATGGATGCCCCAGTCAGGTCCCCCTGAGGAGAGCCCCCAGGTGTCCAGCAGACCTCGATGGGTGAGGGCACCACCATCAGCAGCAGGGAAAGGAGAGGGCTCACTCAGAGTTGCATCTGGGGTGAGGCTGGCTGGGAGGTGGCCCTTCTCCCCCAGGAACTTTTCTCTGGGATGTGGAGGAAAATGTTGTTTCTGGTCCTGAGAAAGGCTGTTTCCTTGGAATCTTTGGGAGCACTCTGCAGGCTGCATGGGTGTCATGGGGCACAGGTTAGACAGTGAGATCCCTGACATTTTGCTAAGCATTGTGCCTCTTCTCTTCCTGCCCCTCCCCGCCCTGTAATGGTTTCCTGAGGTGAGGCCCTGGCAGCTGTTGGATGTAACCAGAACATGAGTTAGCCAACAGCCACCTTCCTGTGCCACAGCAGGTGTTCCAGGGACCACTCTGGAGGTGGGAAGTTGGCACAGAGTTGGGCAATGTTGGTTACAATGTTTCTACTCCATGTAGAGGAGGGACAGGTCACAGCTCTCCTCCGGTGGTGACAGAGCAGCTTCTGGCTGACCACCTATGCCTTCTGACTGTGTTTCTGCTCTGTGGCCTTCAGGAGGGGCACTGCTCAGGAGCTGCTGCTCACTGATCCAGCCAAGGTCTTAGCTGAGGCTCTGCAGTAGGTCCAGGCTCCTGGCCTTACCTACTCTGGGTCAGACACAATCTAACCTCAGCTGGTCTTATCAGCTGTCAGCTGCTAGGAGAAACCTTTATCTCAGGAGATAAAAGAACCATGAAATGGATATGGAGCCTTGACTCAGGCTTCTGGAAGATTTATCTGAATGTAGTGGGTAGGATGAGGAGCTCACTAATCCCAAAAACAGAGAGTACAGAATTTCCACTCAGATTGGCAAAAAATCCAGGCTCTTTGAATGAAGCATTGGTGAGTTTTTAGAAAGAGCATTGGAAATCATGCAGCAAATCCTCCCATGTTTCCCAGGGTGTGATCAGGGCTATCCAACAGACATTCACTCTGGAAAAGGTACTGGGTGCTCTTGCCCATGACTACAGGTTCCCACTGCAAAAACCTCCCATAAGGATGTGACAGGCCTTCTGAGATCTCCAAGCTCAGGTTCTGCATCACTTCAGGCTCTTTGCCCACATCAGTCAAACAAGAACTTAGAGGGCTGGAACACATACTTCCTGTAGCTCTCCAGTCCTTTGTGGAAATTCCAGCAGACCTTGCCCTCTCCACATCTGCTATGGACCTGTCCCTATCCCAACCCCTCCCTCCACACCTCACCTGTTGGTTTTGCCTTAAGACCACTCACCTACTTCCTCAAAACTCAGCTCACTTGGCTCCAGGAGCCCGCATTGCCTGCCAACTACTACAACACCCTGCTGTGCTTTTCCAAGGGAGGCCAGCAATCTAAGACTTGGTGGAGGGCTGAGAGGGGATAGGAAGCCTTCTATTTCAGCCACTCACTCCTGTCAAAAACAAGCAGCCTGACCTAGAGCTTAGGCTCCATCACAGAGGAGCACATAAGTAGCGAAAAGAGAGGTAAATGTAGCAGGAAAGGGTCCAGCCCCTCCTCTGGAGAGGGGAGAGTGGGTTCTGGTTCTGGGGAAGAAGGGGAGGAGGTAGGGAGGGAGTGTGTGAGAAGGAATGTTGGTGTCTGCAGTGGGAGCAGCTGACAGTGGCATCCACATGGCACCTCATAAGGCCCTCAGAATTCAGGGCACAAGTCGGGACTCCAGATTATGAGATGAAGTCCAGAAGCATGGAAAGCATCCTATTTCCTGCTCCACCCACCAAAAGGATCAGAATCAGGTCCTGGCTCAGCACTGTCTGGAAGATCATTGCACTTGAATTCAGGACAAGATTGTGCCTATCTGTAGTGCTTTAATTGCTGGGCTGTTCCAGTGCTGGTCTTAAAGGGAGGCCAGGGTGAGGCACAGAGAGAACCAACTTACCCTGCCTCTCCAGGTGAGAAGGCACTGCTTCCTTTCAGCTCCTATCCAACCCCTTCTGAAGACCAGGTATACTGAGGACACACATCTGCCCTTTGGGTTGGCTGCTGGCTGCTGGGAATGTGGCTTTGGATCTGGGAGATCCATGCCCTTAGCCAAGAGGCTGCTTGCCTCATAGTACGATGGCCCAAGGCTCTCCATACACTGAAAGGCTCCACAGATCTTCTCCTTGGAAGTCCTTTCTGCATGTTGCCCATCACCCATTGCAGCCTGGGGAGCTCAACACCTTCCACACATGCAGGAAGACAATCCCCAGCATGGAAAGCCTCCCTGGGGAGGAAAGCTCATTTCCCCTGAGGGCCTCCTGGGTCTCTTTCCAAAACAATGGGTGAGAGTGCACATGCCTGAGTGAGACAAACTAATGTCTGTCACTTGGGAAGCTGGGTGAGTGGGTTTCAACTTCTGGGCATTCTCTGTTTGTCTTCAGTGTCACCATGCTCCTGCCCTCCATCCTGAAGAGCGTCTTCACCATCTGTGTCGCAGCTGCCTTCCTGCTCACCACTGTGGGTAAGAATGCCTCATCCTTACTCCCAAAGCCAGGAAGGGCGAAGTGGGAATTAAGTCCCTAAGGGCAGCACTGCTGACCTGGAGCCTCAGGGACTCCACATGCTCCTGCAGGCATCTCCCTGGCACCTGGATTGCTAGGAATAGTTGTCTTTGGCAGCCCTCAGCGACCGTGCTCCCCAGCTGTCATTCTCAGGTGTGCCTTTTGAACAATGCTGTATCCCCCTAGAGAGTTATGGGTGTACACAGTGCTCCAAGGACCAATGCAGCACTATGCCCTCCAAGACCTGCCACACCTCCCAGGCCTGCTTCAGCCGTAAGGAGGAGCTAAAAGCTTCAGGTAAACCACACCTGCTGTCCCCCTCTGCTCCCAGGCAAGTGAGGCAGACAGAAGGAGGAGGGCCTGGGAGGGAAGGGCTGGCCTGGCTCAGGAACATGGAGTCTTATTCCCTCAGGTAGCTTTCCTGTACCCCACATCTGCCCACAATGTCCCAGCAGCACAGAACTCCAACACAGACTCTCTGGGGACAGGGTGGGATGATCCTGGTGCCTCCTTCCTTTCCTGCAGCCACTTGGCAAATGAATCTGCTTCTTTGTATGTGTGATCCTCATTTCAGTCACGACCAGCAAGGGGCCCCCCAAACTGCCTCCTTTCTGAGAAGCCCTTCCTCTGTGGTCTGCCCTGGGAAAGGGAACCAGGCAGTTCTCTGGAATCATGGGAAAGTTAAAGACCAAGGGAATAAAGACCCTGGCTCTTGAATGCCAACTTCTAGGCCTGCCCTCAGTCCCCCTGAATCTCAGGCGCAAATTCTCTTTGGGATTTGGCTCTTTGTAGGGCAAGTGATTCGCGGCCCTTACCAGGAGAAAGGCTGTTCTCCAGGAGTGTGCACCCCGCTGGCCTTCTCAGCAACAATGGGGAACAAAACGACTTTCAGCTACAACTATCAGTGCTGCCACAGTGAACAATGCAACAAGAAGGATGTCCCCAGTGAGTATCACTCCCCGGCCTGCTCCCTGCCCTGGGTTTCAGCTCTCTTATCCCTGTACATTCTCTCTGCTTCTGGACACCAAGGCTTTGGTTGTTGCTCTCTCCTGTATCAGTCATTCCCTGTGAAGAGTGGCTTGGTGTCAGCCCCACACTGCTGGGTGGCAGACCCTAATGGGTTTTCTCTAAGGGCAAACCTATGGCTTTAAACCCTACACCCTGTCAGTCCAGCAGAGACCCTGTCCTCTTCTGCTTATTTACTCATCCATTCAGGAGCATCTCTCCACCACAGATCATTTTCCCTCCCATTTTCCAGCTGTTTTTCCCAACTGGGGCCCAGAGGGTGATGGATGAAGGGAAAGGGAACACCAGACTCCTCTGACATCCCTTTGTTTAAATCACGCTTTCCACACCAAAAACCTCTTCCTTCATCGTGCTAGTTGTACGTCTTCTGAGGGGTCTTGGAATAACTACGCTATTATGGAAGAGTAATACTCTTTCTATGCTATTATGGAACAGTAATTTTTCTTTCTATTCCTCAACATGAAAACTTCCTTTCTTCATTCAGTGCCAGTGGACTCTAAAGTCAATGGTGTCGTGTGTCCTGCTTGCTACAATGAAACTGGCCTGGGCTGTGACCCAGTCTTCTTGCACTGCACAGGGAAAGAGACGAAGTGTGCTGAGGTGGTCGGCGTAGGTATGCCCCCTCCCCCCGCCACCCTGAGCACTCTGCTGCTCCTCACTGAGGGTAGAGCTCATGAGCCTCCTTAGCTGCAGGTCGGAGGTCTGTATGGGGCACAGCAGGGTGGTTCTGACTGTGGGTGCCTTGTGGCATGGCAGTCACACTGGTGGCAGGTGCTGTGGTCACTGAGGGAGGGCCTGCCTTCCAGCTCCCTGGTGGTTTCTGGACATGGGCCTTTCCTCAGAGTGTGGGGTCCTCAGGAGACATGAGCTGGGCTTGCACAGATGGAGTGATGAATCCCAGAGAGATGGAGATAGATAGATAGATAGATAGATAGATAGATAGATAGATAGATAGAGACACACACAGAGAGAGAGAGAGAGAGAGAGAGAGAGAGAGAGAGAGAGAAGAGAGAGAGAGAGAGAGAGAGAGAGAGAGAGAGAGCGAGAGAGCACTCAATAGTTTAATCTCGGAGGTGGCATCATTTCTGCCTTTCCTTTGTTCCGAGAGACTACCTGAGAGTAACCCTGACACAGTATTGGCGGCAGCTGCCTAGGGCTCCACTGCCATGAGATGGGAACTGCTGGGGCCTCTTGAAGGCCAACATTTACACATGCCAAGGGGGCTTCTGGTCCAAGGGCTGGGCTGTCCCTGGAAGGTTTGGATGAAGTCATGGCAAGCTAAAGAGGAATGGGCAGGAGAGAAGCAGAGGAGAAGGACACCTCTTCCTACAGCAGACACTGAGGCTTCCAGACACGTGTTATCACTGAAGTGTCCAGGAATGGCACCTTGGCCCAGTGGCAATGAAGGGGTGACACTCCAGCAGGTTGCCATCCTCACTACCACCACTGCTACTTCCCCAACCCCATGAATGAACACTTTCGTTTTTCCTGGTGTCACCCTGCAATTACTGAACCCTTTGTAATTTTTCTGAGCTACAGAATGTCTGCCTGTGGTGAAGGGCTCATGTTCCATTTAGAGAGGAGATGGGAAAGTGTAGTATTTCCCCTGGGGGTAGTGCAGTTAGGTGCAGCCCTGTCCATTCTTTCTTGATTAACAGGTAAAAAAGCTTGGTGGAACTGGGAGGTAGAGGATGAGACAGAGTTTGATAAAACTGAAGCAAACTGCTTTAAAATGATCACGAAATATTCACTGGACATATTTATAGATAAAGGAAATAGTGTGACAGTAATACATTTCATGTAAAAATATAATTATACTTTGGTAACTGGTAAACAAGTGCATTCTAAAAACTTATGATAGTTCAGACTTATGATTAAAATTGTTATCCTGTCTCTTTTGCTAAGAGTAAGAATTAAGTATCAAGTATTTTAACTTTATACTCAGTCATGCTCTTTTAAAGAGGATTTTGAAGGAGAGCTTGAAACCAGCAGGCTAAAGGTGCTGTGTCTAGAGGAATGGGGGTGAATGAGGAAATGGGGTGTCCTGTAGGCCACAGCAAAGGACTGACTCTGTTCACAGGGGGACAGTCACTCTGCCTAAGTGTAAGACAGGAAGTGTGGACATGCTGTGACTATTCACAGTTGTTGTCACAAGGGACTCAGAACCCCAGGAAGGAAGGATCTTGCCTTAAGGGAGGGCCACACGGCTTCCTGGTGTCCCCAAGGCAGTTATGGTAAGGAAGAGGACAGGTAAAGTAGGAGGTTTCTAGGTGAACACACAGTCTCCTTCCCTGCCTGCATCAATCACATCTGTCCTAGAGCACCCAGAAGCCACGGTCTCATCTCATACCTGAGTCTTCAGGTCCTATATGGGCGCTTGCACTCTGGACAGACAGTGGGGCAGAGCAAGTGAGCCTGCAGTCTCTGGGGGGAGCTGGAGCTGTGCTCGGGCTTATTGTGCAAAGGCTGAATCCTGTGTCCCGGACACACTGAGCACTTGGACTCCCTGAGGAAATCAAAATGAAGGTGGGAGGGGAGAGAAGATGTAGCACAGGACTAACTCCCTGACCTTTCTCTTGGCAGTCAGAATTAATGACATCAATATCTTTGGGTTATTTGCTCTGGGCTGTGCGACTGAATCCGCCTGCAACCTGCATCTCAATATATTGGGGAACATAGAGATCCGCACAAAATGCAAGGGCACAAGCAGTGGGAGCTCCCCACTGAAGTCTGTCTCCTCAGCTACCCTCGCCAGTCTTTTCCTGCTGAAAGTCTTGCTTTGATTGTGGGCACTGGAAAGCCCATAATTCAGTAAACCTGTAAATGTTAGAGGCCTTGGATGGTTCACTTTCCCCAATCTTTCCCCACAAGGACAGGATTAAAAAGCTGGTGTTTCCATAAATATGTGTAGAATTACTCATCTGCAGTTACATTTTAGAAGTGCTCCTCTTTCCCTCATGGTTGCTTGCAGCACTGCCCAGGGGTCTGCGAGGGCATCTCTGTGATCCCTCCTTCATCACAGCCCAAGTCCTCAGCACTGTTCTGCACAGTTTCTCTCCTTCGAGGGCAATAATGTGGATGAGCGATTCAGAGCTCCAAAGGGTCCCTTCCCACAGTTCATAAACTCCCAGGTTCAACTAACACACACACACACACACCTAGAACACACGTGTGGAATTCCTGCCTTGCACTCTGGATGCTTCCACCTCCAAGAGTGAGCAGGCACAGGACTCAGGCTTGTGAGGTGGTTCTGAGCCCAAGGCCCCAGTGCGGAGGGCCAGTGCTAGAGTTCCCAGGACTGCTCTGCTTGCTCCTGTGTCTGGGCTCCAGCAGCCCTGTTCATACTCTGTGTCACCTGGGAAGAGACTGGGAACCAGAGAGACACAGCCTTTACAGAATCCAGACCTGTGCTGCTGCTGACCTCACAACGAAGCAACCTCTTGGTTGCGCATGTCATCATTCTCCAAACTCAGCTTATCTCCTACTGGGTGCAGCTCATCTCCCAACACAGCCCTGGAGAAGAGCATGTCCTCACTGTCATTTTTATAACTAGAAGGTTCGTAAAGCCAGAACTACTCCAGTGCGTGTCAGGCCCCAGGGCTTTCTGCTCCAGGTTTTCTTTTCTGTCTGGTCAGAGACATCCTATACCTCTTAAACTCTGAGCAGCCTTTAAGGTTGGGGTCCCTGCTCTTCAGGGCTGCATCCGGAGCCCTTAACACATGCCCCTCCATGTCTGTCCTGCTGCTGCTGCCTGTGTGGGATGTGCTCAGCACCCCAGAGAGAGCCGAGCCTCAAACTGAGAAAAGTCAGTCCTGGAACTTATCACCCAAAACTACAAAAGATGACTGAATAATATGGTGAATGTTTAAACTTTAAAAGAAGAGACTTAGCCAAGAACCAGAGTGTATTTGAAAAAAAGGAGTGAATTTTGAGGGGAATGAAAGGCAAGTTTTCTTTTACTGTCATGAATAAGAAAACAAATTTTTAACATTCGCAATATATTTTGATTGCACCTCCCCTGTCTCATCTGTGGCAGCCCACAGGCCTGAAGCTATTCCTGCCAGTTGTACAGACTCATTCATTTTCATTGCATTGACAGTATCAGACACCAGCCCACAGCATTTCATTGTCTTTTGCCACCTGAGCAGTGCAACTGAAATAATATCCTCAGACCCATGAGTTAGTCCTTCCCTCCCTGCATGTATACATTAGTGCCCCAGAAGGAAGCAGGCATATGAAAGAGCCTATCCTGAGGACCCTCTGCCACCAGGGTGGAGTCCCAGTGAGCCAAGGGAGGGCATAAACTATACCCATCATTCTTTCATCACCCTGGGAAGCTCAATTCAGAGGAACTCCGGTGCCTGGATCATCCCTTTGCATTGTGTTACAGTCAGTCAGTGTGGAAAGCATTTTGGACAAAATCAGCCCATCTCAAGAAACCTCTGAAAGTGAAATGAAAGCATAGTCTCAGACCCCAACCCACCGAGAACAAGTGCAGGAGACATTGACATGGAAGATCTTGGAAACTGCACCACTGAAATTTCTAAATCCATGACAACTGTGGTAAAGAAACAGTTCTATGAGACTACTGTGGAAACCACATCAGAAACAATCTTTCAGGTAAAAAAAAAAAGAAATGACAAACATTATGAAAGAAATATTGTGCATATCTAAAGATGTAAATTTTAAAAATAGAAAAATATTTTAAAAATCAAGGAAAACTTAAATGAACAGTATATGAAAAAAAGAATGTGTGAAACACATTGAAGGAGGCAGTCAGGAAATTAAAAATTCCATTAAATATGACAAAATGGTTTGAATAAAGCTGAGGATTGAGAGCTGAAGACTGACAGCTAAAGACTGACAGCTGAAGATTCACAGCTGAGTTCTACAAGAAATTCAGAGATTTCACACCAATATCCCTCATTCTCTTTAATGAAATTAAAAGGGAACTAACTCTCCCAAATTCATTCCTACAGGCAAGTATTACCCTGCTACTAAAACCAGAAAACTACAGGCCAATCTCCCTAATGAACATAAATGCAAAAATCCTCAATAAAATGCTACCAAAAAGAATCCAGTAAATTATTAAGATGATCGTACAACATGACCAAGTGGGACTTATCCCAGGAATACAGGGATGGCTCAATATACACAAATCAATAGACATAATACTTCATATTAACAAACCCATGAAAAAAAATCATGCGATCATCTCAGTAGATGCAGATAAAGTTTTTAATAAAATCTAACACTCATTCACGATAAAAACCCTACTGAAAATCTAAATAGATGATATCTAAGTCAATCTGAAAAAGCCATGTATGACAATCCCACAGTCAATATCATACTACATGGACAAAAACTGAAAGGTTTCACTCTAAAATCAGGAACAAGACAAAGATACGCGCCATCACCACTGTTGTTCAATATAGCTCTTGACACATTAGCTGGAGCAATTAGATAAGAGAGAGAAATAAGAGGAATAAAGACAGGAAAGGGTGAAGTTAAATTATCCTTATTTGTAGATGGCATGATACTCTACCCAGAAGATCCCAAAACTGCAACAGAATTCTAGACTTAAGAAGCAAACTCAGCAGTGTAGCTGTTTACAAAATCAACACTCAAATGTCAGTAACATTACATACATACCAACAAACTCACCAAGAAAAAAATTAGGGAAACTACATTCTTCACAATAACATCCCAAAAAATGAAATACATAGGAATCAACCAGACAAAGGAACTCAAAGATTTGTACATTGAAAATTACAGTACTCTGAAAAAAGAAATTAAAGAGATATTTACCAAATGGAAAGATGAGTAACTGATGTTACTCATGGATATGAATAACCAACAGTTATGGTTTGTGTCTTGGCCTCTTGCACTCATGGATGCTGCTGAATCTAGTATTTCTGATTGGCTTGTTGTCCAGTGCTGGGATTGGTAGTGTGAGTGCTGTACCCGCCCAGGGCTGGAGCCAGCACACGATGTAAGGGAAGGGAAGAGACTGCCTTCCTTTTTGCCCTTTAGCTTCTTGTCAGTTGGGGCCACCATGAACACCTGCACCTCAGCCACACCTCCGTGCCTTCCAGACAGCTCAGTGTGGACTGAAACCTCCGAAACTGTAATTTAAATAAACATTTCTTTGCTTCATTTTGGCATTCAGTATTTTGTCTCAACAATGAGAGAAAAGTAACCAAGATACCAATATTGTGAAAATAGCCATATTCCCAAAACTGTTGTAAAGATTTCTTGCAATCCCAATGAAAATGTCACTAGCATAACTCATAGATCTAGAAAAACTATTCTGAAAATTTAGTGGAACAAGGAGAGACCTAGAATAGCAAAGGCAATCCTGGATAACAAAGGTAAGCCAGGAGGCATGAAAATCACTGGGCCAACATTACACTACTTAGCTACTGTAATGAAATCAGCATGATGCTGGCAAAGATCAATGGAAAAGAGTAGAAATTACAGACACAATCACAAACACATTCACTCACCTTATCTGTGACAAAAGAGCCAAATATATTCACTGAAAGAAAGATGGCCTCTTTAATAAGTGGTGCTGAAAAGTTGGCATTCCACCTGCCAAAGACTTAAACTACATTCATGCCTATCACTCTGCACTAAACTAAAATTAAAATGGAGCGAAGATCTAAACATTAAAAAAGAAGCACTACATTTCCTGGGAGACAAAGTAGGTAGAAATCTAGAAGACAGTAATAGGCAGGGAGTTCGCGAATGAAAACCAAACCATGTGAGAAGTACTTCAAAGAATCAGCAACTAAAATCTCATCTTCTTAAAAATTTATGCACATCCAAAGTAATCATCAGCAGAGTGAAAAGAACCCACATGGGTTGGGAAAAGATTTTTGCCAATGTCACTCTGACAAAGGGCTTCTATGCAATATATATAAAGAATAAAAAAAGTCAGGCCCCCCCAAATTCAAATACCCAGTCCAAAAATGGGCATCTGAAATGAATAACAATTCTCAGGTGAAGAAAATTGCAAATAGGCATTTAAATAACAAATAAATATGTGAAAAAATGTTCAGAATCATTGGTCATTTGAGAAATGCAAATTAAAACGACATTGAGATATCAGCTCACTGCAGAAAGAATGGCTAACATCAGGAAATCAACAAATAGCAAATGCTGGAGGGGTTGGGGGAAAAAGAAACACTTCAAAATCATTGATGGATGGAGCATAAACAGGTAAACCCACTGTGAAATCTGTTAGAGATTCTTCAAAAACCTAGAATTAGAGTTTCAATTTAATCCAGGTATTCCACTTCTGGGTATTTTCCAGAAGACTTGAAATCATCTTACCACAGAGAGAAATAAGATATGTGGTCCCATGTTAATAGCTGCAGAATTGTTAATAGTCAATCTTGGAAACAACCGAAATGCCCATCATCTGAGAAATGGATAAAAAAGATATGGTATTTTCATACAATGGAGAAGTACTCATGAGTAAAGTAGATAAACTAGAAGTTCTTATAGGCAGATGGATGCAACTTGAGACCATTCAAATAAGTGAAATAAATCAGACCCACTTGTGTAAACACCACATTCTCTCACCAGTGGAAGAAACTAAAAGAAGAAATCAGTTACAAAAGTTACAATAGAAGTAGTGATGGGAAAAGAAAACGGTCAAACTGAAATCATATTTAACAAACTTTGCAAAATCTGAGATGAATACGCGATTCTCAGATGAAGAAATACAAATGGCAAATAAATACATGAAAAAATGTTCACCATCACTGGTCATTAGAGAAATGCAAATTAAAACAACACTGAGATTCCATCTCACTCCTGAAAGAATGGCCAGGATCAAGAAAACTACCAACAACAAGTGCTAGAGAGGCTGTAGGGAAAAAGGAACTCTCCTGCACTGTTGATGGGAGTGTAGACTGGTGCAATCATTGTGGAGGTCAGTCTGGAGCAATGAAAACATCATACCACAGTGATATATGTGCACCCATTTTATAGCACCACAATTTGTAATAGCCAGAACTTGGAAACAACTTAAGTGTCCATCAACCGAGGAATGGATAAAAAAAGATGTGTTATTTTTATACAATGGAGTACTACTCAGCTATAAAGAATGATCACATTGAAATATTTATAAGTAAATGGACGCAGCTTGAGACCATATTCATAAGTGAAATAAATCAAATTCACATGTATAAATACTGAACAGTTTCCCTAGTGTGAGAAATGGTAATAATACATAAAAGTATGTGGTAATTATGATTCCCCATTATATTGCTTTGAAGCCTTATAATGTTTTCATTCATTAGTTGGAATGGTTTTATTCTGGGTTGTTTGATTTTATTGTCTGTGGTGGTATGAACAGCTATTTTGAAGAAAACAATACATTATAATAACTAGTGTTGATTTAACATCATCTTGTTTTGAAGTCCCATCAAGCATTTGTTCTTCTGTCTGCTTCAGTTTTTATCATTGTATCTTATTATATATGATAGTATAAACAAAAATTTTTATGGACAAGGAGATAATATAGTAACCATTGTTCATTTTCTGTTAGTTGGATCTGCATACCCTGTTATATTTTCATTCTCTTAAATGGTTTTATACTGTTTTGTTATGGTTGATACGATAGTGTATGAAGGTATACTCAAATATTTCAAGGAAAGAGACACTATGGTAGCTACTGTCATATCGTGTTGTTTTGTGGTGAAACACTATGTTGCTTAAATTATTCTGTTCTGACCTGTTTTGTTGTGTCCAATTTTATCTTAATCTTTTTTTAAAACAAAATTTTAAAAATGTTATCATCTTGTTCAGTGATCCCATGTCACTGTTCTTTTGCTGTTATTGTTTCTCTTGTCATTGGGATTTTTGTTTGTTTGTTTGCTTGCTTGCTTCATGGTTTTTTTTATTTTTCTCTGCTTTTTTCTATTAAAAATAAATAGAATAAAACTAAGCAGTGAAAAACAGAAGGACTAAAAAAAGGCAAAAAAAAAAAAAAGAAAAGGAAAAGTAGAATCTCTAAGAAAAAGAAAAACAATGACAAAATATAAAATTAAAAAATAAGAAATAAAACAAAATACAACCAGTCAGAGAAAGGGTAACCAATCAGACAAACAGAAAACTAAACACAGTAAAAATCCCTCTGGTGCTCACAGGTCTGCAGTAGTGTCCATGTTAAATCCCAGAAGTGTGCTGCACACCGCAGCTAAGTTTGCCACGGATTTCTGCTGGCTGTGGAGCTGATCTTGGCCTTGGGATGTGGGGCTGGGGCTGTCGGTGGGGTTCTCCAGAGCCCTTAGATGAGACTGACTCACCTGCTGCTTCTGTGCTGAAGCACAGAGCTCGTTCTGTTCACGGACCCACCGCAGTCTCCTCAAGGATGCCCCAGACATTTCCCTGGTGTTCATGTCACCTAGGTCTGCATGTCCTCCTGCGGGGGCCTGGTCTCGCTGCTCACACCTGCGCACCCCTGTGGAGCCTGGCCTGGTCTCCTACTCCTGTCTTTGTGCCTTAGTGGCTTTGCAATGAGTTCTGCTCACTGTTCAGCCAAGTAAGTCATGACTTTGGCCCTGTGACTTCTCATTTTCTTTTTATTGACAGGTAAGTTTAAAACATTTTAAATATGTTTTGATATATAATAATTAGATGCATCTTGGGTAACTGGTGACACAAACTCTCCATCTTAAACATTTTTACTCCCCCTTCGGCCTAGCCCTCCTCTTTCCCCTTCCCCAGATTCACATAGACTCTCCATGAAGACTGCCTCATTTGCTGCCATCCCTTCTATTTTGCTCTTTAAATTATTTATATTTTGGGTTCTCCTGTAAGAGAAACCATGAAATATGTAGCTTTCTGTCTGACAGATTATTTCACATAGCATGATGGTGTCAAGATTCATCCATTTTCCTCCAAGTGGCTCAAATTTCTCTCTATGATGGCTGGTCTGTGTGTGTGTGTGTGTGTGTGTGTGTGTGTGTGTGTGTGTGTGTAGTAGTTGCTCTCTTCATGAACCCACTTCTCTCTATGATTCTGGTCAGAAACTGAGCTGGACAAGAACTGAATCAAATTTCCCCATAAGGTCAACATTTATCAGGTCCTGACCTAGATTCCCCAATCTTCCAAATGATTGTACGGCGGAGGTTAAATAAAAAGTGACAAATTGTATGAATTTGGTGCTCCAAGAGGGTCAAAACCCTTTAATTAAGCTCGCAACTCTGAGAGTTATGACAAAAGCTTCTCTGGATCAGTCCAGGACTAACGACAAAACGCTGAGAAACTGAGGAAAGCGCAGGCAATGAGCAGGACCTTGAGAGTCACTTCAAGGACATCTCCAAGTCTCATATAAATGAAGTCAATTAGTAACACTGTCTTATGAAGACATGGCAGAAGTGAGACTGTAGGAGTAATTCCTGCAGCTGCAGTCTCTACCTTGTTAATTGGGGTTGGAACCAGAGAGTCCGCAGCTGCAGCCTTATCTTGCCCTTTGAGGTATCTCTGGCCTCACAGGCCTCAGCCAGGACCAAGTGATTCATAGAGGTTCACTTACTATGAATCAGCTCCCATCACCAGGCAAGGGGCCTAGGCCTAGGACAGACTCATAGATAAACATAGAAAGCCAATTAGTAAAATTTAAATCCTGCTCAGAGCCACTTTGTAGTGGTCTCCAACAAACACTGACCTTAACCATTGAATTTTTTTTTTTTTTTGGTACCAGAAATTGAACCCAGGACCCTGTGCTTGCCAAACAAGTGCTTGTGCCACTGAGCTTCATCCTTATCCCATGACTATTAAAATTGATTTGGTTCTCATCCAACTCAGTTTTCAGTGAGAAGATTTGAAGGAAAGATTTTCCTTATTCACTCAGCTGTGGATGGGCATATAAGCCCTTGTTATTAACAAGACGGAGGATGGGGGTGATTGATCCAATGTCTGAATACAAGGATGATATTGAGTATTCTGTTTAGTTATTGGTGCAAATGCTATTTTAGTAGATTAGCTGAATTATAATTCAATGCAGATACAATTAAATAAACTACATGAGTAACCTAATCATTCATAGTATACAGTTCTATCATTTTGAGTATATTGGCAGAGTTAGCAACCTTTCTTGGTCAGATGGGCTCTTGCAGGTCACAGCACTGCAGGCAGAACAA